TTAAAATCTTACTAATGAATGAAAAGTTGATCCTTTCAACTCGAACTTTTTGAGCCATGCCTGCCTACCAGCCTACTGGTGATGGTGGAGCGCGTGTCTGTTTGTGCTGTGTGATGTGAATAGCGAATATTTGCACAAAAGGAAATGCGAAAGCTAGCGCTGGTATTTGCAAGAAGTTTCTCAACAATGGAAATTGCTAGATGGGTAAATTTTTTTAGGTGTGTGAACGCATGCGCTTGGCTGACTGCGCTCTGCAGGTGGCTTATCGAAAGTAGAAGACAATAAGCGAGATAATTTTGGTCGAATGTGGATTAAATGCATTAAGGAAGCATTTTAAATTAGTTTATGAAACATGAAGGTGAAAAAAGTTGTAAAGCAAGAAAGAAGTTAATTTCAGTTGCACCGAAGCATGCACAAATGGGAAAGATGTCATGCAAGAACTTGAGTTTGTTCGATCAGTTTTAGCTTATAGTGGCTCGAGATTGTAACGTTGCCTTGGTCTTGAGGTACTCGTTTGTGTACATCACTTTATTACATAATTCTGATTACATAATTTATGACATAATTTTTAAAAATTTATTCTCTCCTACATATTTTTAAGATTTACTTTAATATTTTAGAATATCTTTTTCTAAGTTCTCGAAAGTTCATCTTTTTTTTAATTATTTGCCAAAATTGCACCTTTTTTCTACCACCTAATTAGTACTCAGTTGAAGCACGAAAGACCGCAATATTATGGAAAATTAATTTAGGCTGCAGCTAATTGAGTTCTTGCGCTCAAATTGCGTGTCACTTTGTGTTGCACGAAATTTGCTGCAATGGCCTACCCATATGAGTGGCAGTGTTTACCGTTTTTCTTGGCACACATGACGCGGCTGCTATTTTCGCTTCATTTCGTTATATTTAATAATGCTCTTTTCCTCATCAATGACTCTGAATATAAGTTAATCTTCCGCGGCAATTGATTCTTCCTTCTTGTGACTCTGAATCTCGTGTCTAACCTAGATAAATCTGTTACACATAATTAGTTTTTATAGCTTAATAGCATATGATAAAGCTTTTACAAATTTAAGAAAAGGTTTGCAATGCATCTTCAAAGCAACTAGATATCCTGAAAGGTATGGATTTCTTGATAATTATAATTAGAAATATGAAAGTCTACCAATTTATTAAAAAAAAACAAAAAAATCTACAAAAGAAGTATTCATAACTTCAAAAACTTTATTTAAATGGTATAAAGATCAAGAACTGGTTGTTATGAGACTATAAAGATATTGTTTAGGTTACAGCGGGACCAAAAATATGTTGACATAAGAAGCAGAGACGCTTACTATGACTATGATATTATGTAAGGGAAATGATCTAGGAATTGTACATCCAGGAAAAAAGTCGATTCTGATTTTTAGACGAATGTATGACATTTAATCATCACACTCTGTTAATGATTATGACATTATAAAGCGAAAAAGTTGAATAAAACATGCTTAACAATCGTTCTTTTAATGTCATTCAGATGGCAGCGGATCTCAACATCTCTTATGGATCGACTCTGCATATTTTGGTTAATGTTTTGGGTAAGAAGACAGTTGATTTTTTTGCGAGTCCAGTAGAGGTCGTAAAATATATACTTGACAATGTCGCTCAACATCATATATTCATCGAATGCACCAGTAAGTGGTGAATTGCACTCACAAAGTGAGCCGAATATCAAACAAAACTACAATTCGTTGAAGACAGATAGGTTTCTTATAATTGTGGGGAAAATTGGATTAAGCGTTAGCTCGGTAATCTATTTTGAAGGCGATAATGACGATTTGTATTTAGATATTTTAAAAAAGGATTTGATAATGTTGTGAGTCTGGATCTAATTTGATCAGCTGGTTTACCGTGTAAAGTCCACCAAGTTTGAAAGTTATGTTTTATACGTGGAAGTTTGGAAATAAGCAAAACTTATTCGATTTATTTTCGGCGCATAATTTTGATAAGATAGCTCACACTTATCTCGATATTTTCGAGCTTTTGTCCACGAGTATAGCGAAAGTCATTATATATATTTTTTTATATTATATATATACTATATATGGATCTATTTTCGGCATGAAACTACAATATTTCCTAGATAACATGTTCGCTTAAGTTTGTTACGATATCCATGGCATGACGAATATATACGGTTTAAAGTTTTGAAGCTTTGAGCGAAGACATTCTAACGGAAGCTTTTGAAAAGCTTTTTCTATGCTAAGGCTCGCGATTTTCTTAGGGAGAGTTAGTTGAGATGCCTATAATGCAAATTTTTATTCGAAAAATCTAAATATGAATTTAACTGCTTACAGGGAGCGACGGGTAATAAGCTCAATAGAGAAAATTGTTATTATTCTCTTTAGCAAATAATATTAGCTAGATTTGTAAAATCATTGAACGAAGTTAAATTCACTGTTAAAACTTCTTTAAGCCAAAGCAACAAACTACTGCTATTGAAAGAAATTTAGCATTCTCCCGAAGTATTCAATTTGAAAACAAAAGTTATGCAGACCGAATTTTTCTTGTTGTCTCTTTTTTTTGTCTTCTCCAATTCCACTTTTCACACAGATTTTATTCTCAGCAAGTTTATATTTTCCAACTCGTATTTAGTGGGGCGTTGCTGCGTATCCCGCAAGTCCGCCTACCAAACCAACAAATTTTGTTAGCAAACAAACTTCTATATAGTATGTACTAATATAGGTATGAGCTAGTGAGTTGAATAGCATTGCAGTGAATGCAATTGTTTTGTTTTTTTTTTATTGAAGAATGTATTTCGGTTTGCTTTTTTTGTTGTTTGTGCGTCGATAATACGTCTTTCGAACTTGTGCCATGCTCCACAAACTTTTTCTTCATTCTTCTTCGATTTCGTTAACGAGCTGCAAACTCGTCTGGTGAAAATAGGCTGCCTGATGATTCGTGAAATGCTAAAATGCAGGCAAAGAAGATGTGGAATGAAGCGAAAACAAAAACAGCCCCAACTTACCAGCGAATCGATTTGCTAAACTTTGCCGGTTATTTGTGGGCATAACAGCTGAAAAATTGTGAACTTTTAACCCATGGTTGTGAAAATATTTTCGCTTTTGTTTTGTCGCTCTGTTTCGCATATTTGGTATTTAGTGAGAATTATAATAAAATGTTATCTTTTGAAATAGGCCAGTTTCGCTACTAAATATCAATATTCAAATAGCTGTAGGATATTATTCTAAAGCGATTACAAAGTTTAAAATATTTATATTACAAAGTGAATGTGAAATTCTCATCACCTGTTTCTAATAAGAGTTTTTTGTTTTGTTTTGTAAATCTGAAAATTCCCGTAATAAACAAAGGAGAGCTTTTTTGAAGGTTTCAGCGAAGACGGTCCAACGGAAGCTTTTAAAAATCTTTTTCCATGCTAAGGTTCGCGATCACATACATACCCCTAGAACTATGCTTAGTTTTGTAAGCTATTTTCCATTGACGTTTATGCTTCACAGTAATTTAAATATGCGTGGTCCTCCGATTCCTGTACCAATTTCCTGCGACGTTTTCGAGCCGTCAATGCATTATTTGATGGTGCTATCCCTAAACCGAACCTCGAGGGTGGAATCATTCAGTTCATTTAGTTCATTCAGTTTTACTGTTATAAGTAACCTTGAACTTCTTGTTGCAATTTAACATTTTGGTAATGCTGTCCCTTGAGTGAAGAGCCTATGATACTACACTATTTAATTCTTTCATTATCTGGGATGGGATTATCTTACCTCTGACACACCCTTCTACTGTAATTTGAAGCAGTGTATGTTTGGCTACCTTACCCATTTCTATGTTAAGTGGTGCGAACTCACTCATACATGGCACTCATTGGATCCCTACCAAATCTCAAGCCAGTACCTCATACGTGATTATCCACCATTGTGCAACCACTTGACAACTCTTAAATTGCAGCCCTAGGATTTACCAGCTATTCGATTGCACACCATTCGTGCTTTAGCTTTAACATGCTGCTTCTACTGCAGAGTGGAATTCAGCGTGAGACCAAAATATTTGACCATGTTAGTCATCTCTACCACTGTGAGCCCGGGAAGGGACTTATGTCTGGTAAATAGTAGTCCACATGTCCTTGACAGCCGATTGTATTGTGACTTAGCAAAAGTAGTAGGTCATCCTGTGGGAAGCCTCTTGCAGTGCCGAGACGAGTCTTAGTATCCCCTTCTGTGGTTTCAGCTATTCTGATGCGTACCTCCTCTTGGGAGACGTGTTGTTAAAAGCATCTTCGATGTCTAGGAAGGCACATAACATTACTTCCCCTTCTTTCAGGGAACTGTTATTTCATGATCAACTATTTTTCCAAATATTTTAGTAAGAAGGAAGTTAGACAAATTGGCCTGAAGAATTTACCAGTGAATAGAGTTCTTCTTTGCTACCTTGGGTATAAAGGTCACCTTCATACATATTCGTCAGTGCAAGGCTATCCCTCATCAGGCGTACTCGGTTTGGAAGTAGAACCTGCTCTCTCTGTCAGGGAGGAGATAGAAAATTATCGAAAACCTTTTAGATTTCTCAAGGATTAGGCCCATATGTATATGCTGGACATTACGGTTCTAAAGCAAATTGTAAGCGAGAACCTGTAGTTCACTAGACATTTTATATCAAAAAAAAAAAATCGATCTAAAATCGGGGTTATGGGTATTTTTGCGGTCTAATCTTGAGCATAATTTCCCAAAATTCCATATTCCATATTCCTTAACTTGTTTTAGACATTATTTATTTTCGGTGCTTATAAACATGTAACCACGTACGAAATGAATGACTGATGAATTGGCCGACTCCATGTCGAACCATTTGACTTTCTAAGGTATCGCTAAGAGATTTGATTAATATTGTTGTAGGTTCTTAACTAAAGGGACAAAATTTCTTCGAAATAAAATCTTAAACTGCGAATATTTTCTATCAGTATTCTGTTTCAATCAATACTAAATTTTCTGTGAATTATAATTTACCTCATCATCGTAATTATCGCCTTCCGCCATGTTTGTCACGTAATGTTCGTTTACTTAAAATCAATTTTTTAAAAATTTACGGAAGCACACTCTTTGAACTGCAAATTGTTCGACAGTATGTGTTGAGTAGAGTCTCAAAAAGTGCACTGCTTCGTTTCGAGAACCTGCCAAGTAGCTTATAGTCTCTTAAATTGCTTTGTGTTGTTGTGCCTTACATTGGTTTGGCATGGTTATTTGCTGTGCACTTGTCTCGCTAAAGCAGCTTTTAGCTAAAGCTTACGCTATGGTCATTGCGCGGACATAACCGTAATTCTATTCGGTGCTTGTAATGCCGTTTTAATTATTTTATAATTATTTCTTGCTTTGCAATTCCTTTTTAAGTCCTGTTTATAGGTTACAAGTTGGCATGCTCAAATGCTGTGCGCTTGTTGCTCAATATCCTTGACGGGGTTGTAGTGCTTAGTTTCAGTTACAGTGTTGTGTTGCTGCTGTATTATAAATAATGTTCCTTCACTGCGCTTTATTGCTGCTTTCTCTCCTATTATTTTTTCCCTCGTTATATTTTGTAATTAACCTTTTCACCGTTTTAATAAATATTAATAGCACTCGGCTGGCTTTTTGTTCTTCGCTTGTGTCGTAGTCTCGTTTGGTTGGTCAATATTTTCAGCGCACTCACTTATGCAACATTTCTATATGCTTTGTGTATGCTCTGCATACTTTTAGGCCGCTTAATCTTTATTTCTCCTAATCTGCTGCATACTTTTTAGCGCCGTCATTACAAGTTCCCAGCACTACTATTGCGCCAACTGCATGAAAAATAGAAGAAAGTAGAATAACTCGTTAGCACTACCATCAATTTGCGTTTGTGTGTGTTTGCGTGTACATGTTATGTATGCGTGAGTGTCTGTATGTGTGGCCAAGTTGTTCTATTCATTGTTGCTTTCCTTTTGTGCTGGCATACAATGTCATATGCAAATACATACATACAGACATTAAAAGTTTGCATACTTTTTTGCGCATCCATTTTTTGCATAAACACATACACATCTAAAGCTTGTGTGTGCATGTGTGTGCGTGTTCTGTGTGTGTAGTGAGCGTGCTGTGGTAATTAGTGCGTGCGTGTAAATTTTCTCTTGTAACGTTTTACAGAAATTGTTGCCGAATTCATTTGTTGTTAGTTGCCATGTTATTGTTGTTGTCATATTTGTACAAACACTTACATATATAATTCATACATAAAAATGCATGCTTTGTTATTCGCTTAGTTGTGTTTTAGTGTGGCTTACATGCGACAATAATATTTTTAGTGTATGTTTGGTTTGGTTGTTGGTGAAATAGCAGCGTACATATTGCTTCTAGGGTCAGTAGGAAATATATTCAGAAAAGTTTTGGTACAAGACAGGTAGACAATTACACATAGAATTTTAATAATTAACTTATTATCATCATGACAAAGAAATATTACATACAATAAAATAAAAAATTAAGGAAGAGTTAATTGTTATTAGTTCTTCATAATCATGATCTTCTGAAATCCAACAGCTCTCAAATAACTAAGTAATTTTTGAGCCACATATTTCCTACTGGCTGTCCGCCTTTCTACGTTTCAAGTCTTTATTTATATTTTATTGCCGTGGCAAGTGCAGCTTTTTAAACCTGCACAATGTGCGCTTTTCTCACTTCTCTTTCTCAAATAACGCAGTAATCCTTTCTGCCGGGCAATTTATTCGGTGTGTGTGTTGGCTAAGTGTTTGGTTTGCTTTTGTGAACCTTTAGTTTCACAGAGTGTTTTGTTCTTCTATTTTTTCGCTTAATTACTGCGCTAATTATATGCGACTTAAGTTGCAAGCACATGTTCACTGTCATATATTATGTAGTCGTGTATGTCATAAGTGTGGATGTATGGTATATGCCAGGCATTTTTGAGTTTATTGTAGTAAGTGGAACATGGAAATGTGCTGTATTAACATAAGTATGTATTTTCAGGATTAATAAAATATGTTAGCATGATTCTTAAGTGTAGTGTCAAAAATTGTTTCGTCTGATTTTCTAATCTTCAAGCTCTATATTTATGCTACTAGTGGAATTTTCTACGATGATGAGTGCTTGTCAAAGTTCAGACTTGGTAACAGAGCACGCAAAATTACTTTGATTATATCATTTAGTACACAAAATCGGGATTGTCTTTTTTTATTAAGTTAAGCAGATATTTATATTACATAAATTTTTGCCGGATTTCAGTTTTGAATTCCGAATCCCCGGGATCCCGAAAAATCGGGATTACATTCTTTACTAAACAAAGTTGGCATTTAAGTCAATATACATTTTCGTTAGACTTTGCTTTTGAATCTCATCATCGGGATCCCGAAATATCGAGATTAAAATTTTTTGCGTAAAGTTGATATTTCGTTGTACATTCAATTCCGTCAAACTTTACTTTTGAGCCCCGCATCTTTGGAATCCAGAAAAATCGTGAATGCAGTTTTTATACCCTCGCAACATGTTGCTAATTAAGGTTTAGAACTGTTATTTAGTACAAAGGATCTCAGTAGCAAGGGGCGGCTGTGCGCTAAACATTTTGAAAAACTGGGCATGACTCCGTCCCTAATAAGTTCAATGTACATATCTCTCAAAACGTTCTAACCAAAATAGCGAATTCTCCCACGATAAATCATGTAAGAGCTCAATCGACAGTGTGAAAATAAATGAAATCGTATCATAACCCCGCTCACTCTCCATGTAACGGTACTGTTGAAAACTAAATATGCCAGAAATATTAAATTTCACTACCGAGGTCATATTCAAGACTTTTATAAGTGCCAATGTCAAAATTGAACAATGAGCCAGGGATCGCCCTCTTTTGGTGAAATGTCATACCTCGAGACCTGCTCGCCCTATTTCAACCAAATTCGGTGCATGACGTTATTTTAGTGTTCAACTTCTGGCTGATTATATTCCGCAGCTATTTCAATGAAAATGAGAGAGGATGTTTTACTCATAACAATCTATCTATGTTCTTAAAATATAAATAACATCGGGATTTCCGGACATCCTGCAGACTTTACTCCGTATGTTCGTGATGGTGATGGCTGTGAGGAACCTTGATGAAATATTGAGAGCATTTTATTATTATTATCTACTTTTGATTGCATGTCTTACTAGAGAAGCTTATATGCAATCGGGTCAATACTATTTCTTATATGCCTTTATAAGATCTTCAAAATTTCGTCTATAGTTTAATGCCAAAAATATATGAAATTGGTTAACGAATTATTCAAATGCCTATATAGTATACATATAACTATTTTCCTTACTCTAGCAAACCTTATGCCAAATATGGCGATCAGTATTATAGAGTTACATATAAATATATAATTGTTTTGCAACTTAAGGAATTTTCTTAGCTTTGGTCCTAGCAAGTAACAAGACTTAAAAAATATCATTAGTATGTATAAGAAGAAAAGAAGAAAATTTAAAATTTGTCTGTTTGACTAAAACTAACCACATTTCTGCAGTTGTCTTCTAGAGATTAGGCCTAGCTGTCTTTCACAAAACAAAATTTGGCATCTTTAATTTATGTGGTCTAAATTCCGTTCTGAAGAAGTCCCGCAACTTGTATACTATCCTTCAATATTAAATAGAATGTCATCGATTTCTTGTTAGCGAAACTGTTCTGAGCGGATGCTTAGTTAGATGAGATGTTTGCTTGCTCATCATCAGTGTTTCCTGAAATGAATGGGTTGTTTCATTAAGGTTCTAACGCAATTGATATAAAATATTAGGAGTCCTTTATAACTTGGATTTGATCCACGAAACCCGAGTTAGTAGTAAGTTTTAAATAACAGTACATTGTGCATTGTGAAATAGGCGTTAAGCTAATTAATAGAAATTCTGCTAAAATTCACAACCTTGTCGTATTGCACGCCTAAAAGTAGGCAAATCTTATATCTTTGATTTCAAACTTTGTCATTAAGCATGATATTGCTTGAAACTGAGATGTATCTCATACGCTTTATCGAATATCTACGATCAAAAATATTTATGAAATAAACATTTAGCCCAGTTGACATAGTTGGCACGTATAAAAAAAAAAATTGTTGCCTACATTTAGAATTTCTGATCAATGTCAAGGAGAGCTTCAACACTAAATATAACGAAATTCTAATATATACACACATCTATAAAGATAATTCAACAACGTTTATAATAACTATACTACAGAAGGGTGAGAAGTGAGATGCTTCAACTGCTTAGCTGCGATTTGGTAGTATACGAGTAAAAAGAAGACTTATATGCGCAGTATGCAATTATATGCATATATATTCATACAAAATAAAAAATACCTAATTGCGCTGCAGCTGCCCTACTTCCAAATTTGCTATTGTTATAGAAGAATCAAAAATTGTGTACTTTGCTACTGTTGATGTAGGCCCAAAAGCAGTATAGAACTACCGCAAAATTATAGTTGGTCAGCGCATGAATACTATGTGCAAACTAAAAAATGAACTTTTCGAATAAAATTGCTTACAAAAAATTGTTGCAAGGGCATAGTTAGTTGGTTAAGCGCCTAAAAGTAGGCAATGAAAATATATTTTTTAGCGCAGACGCTGCTACGTTTGCGATTGCTGATTGTGTAAGTTGCGCAACGGTGATTTATGTGCATCCCAGTGAGTTGGTTTGAAAAGCGGTGCTTATATATAATATATATGTATATATGTCTGTATGTTTGAAGCTATGCAGGAATGGAAGTTTGAAAATATGTTTGCATGTTTCATCTCATGAAATTTCACGTCTGCTAGTTTGAAAGCGCAATTTATCATTCTGTATGCACATTTCAACGGGTAATTTTCCACTTGGGCAACTCCGAATGGAAGCACAAATTCTGCAAGCGAAAACTGCAATTGATAAAAATGGCAGAAATATGCAGAGCCGCACTCGGAAACAGAAAACTGAAATCAATCATGGATATGCGCAGGTTATTTATGCATACCCAGGCGCTATACCGCCCAACTGACCCAACTATGGTGAGCATGTGCCAATTAGATTTAGTAATTGCCTGAATAATTGCTTACAAATTTATCACGCTAACACGCAGCTGTTACCGTTATAGTGCCGTTATTATTAGTATAGATTAGCTCAGCGTTGCGCTTAA